ATACTTTGATTTTGCTTAAAAATAGTCGTGGACACAATTGATGAATAATTTGGTCCGTTCTTACATGCCACAGAAAAATGCCCAGAGTTTAGCTATAGCTCTTTTGTGACAGTGTGGACAGTAAGTCACACCTGTTTAATTGATGAGGTCTTACAGTAAGCACACAAAAAAGCCAATGATAAAAGGAAAAATGTGCTACACTGACTTGCTCAGGTAACTCACAAGTCAATTAGCATTAGGCTTCCACGCTAGAGAGACTACTACAGAAGGGGCTAAGAGTCAGAAATTAGAAGAAATTATATGTTCACTTAGGATGACAACTCATTTTTAACCAGATGAAGCTTTGGGGAAGCTGAAGGAGATATAAGGCTCTAGAAAAGTAATGTCTAACAGAAATAAAATGCAAGATACATACGTAATTTTTAAATTTTCTATTTGTTGTTGGTGGAGCCCTGGTGGCGCAGTGGTTAAGAGCTTAGCTGCTAACCAAAGGTTGGCAGTTCCAGTCCACCAGCTGCTCCTTGGAAACCCTATGTGGCAGTACTACTCTGTCCTGTAGGGTCGCTATCAGTCAGAATCAACTCAACAGCAATGGGTTTGGTTTTATTTGCTGTTGTGTGCTGGTTTGAAAATCTGAGAATATCACTTAGCAGGGGCAAAACACAAGGTGGACAGCAGCATTAGGAGAAAGAATAGCTGAAATGAGGAATTGAGAACAATTTCTTAAAAATTCTCAATCATCTTGCTACTGAGAAGAACAGACTGAGAAAAAAGATACAGTTAAGTCCAAAATAGTCTTCAGGGTGAGTTATACCAAAAGCTATCATGGGAAAACTCTATTTAAAAAAAGGTTCGAAAGCACTGGAAATAATGACAAAACAGAAATGTTATCAGAGATAGCAGAAGTATTTCCTACCAAAAATAGAATAGGAAATACGGTCTTTTTTCATCAGAATGAGATGCCTTAGATTAGTCCCATAATTTCCTAACCTATTTCTCTTCTTCTTACTGAAGATGATTTTCAGATAGCAACTTTCTTCCTTAAACTCTGAGATGAAAGCTTCTGGATAGACAGCATACATCCCACAACTTACATTTTAATAAGCAATCATGTTATCTTCATGCAATTCCTAAGAATATAAGAATATACTATGAAACTTTCTTTTTATTAAAAAAGATTGTAATTAATTAAACAATAAAAATAAACTCAATTAGCCAGGTTGGTGTTCATTCAGTCCTTTGTTTTCTTGTAGCTATCTCTTTTCTTGCTTTCAAACGTAAGTCATTTCACTGATTGTCATCACTTCCACTAGTGGAAGGGAGTGAGTACACAGAAAAAAGGGAACTGGGGATAGCATTCATGGGGAAAGGTTTGGTGGAAAAGGAGTTTATAACTACAGGATAATCTTAAATACTTTATAATTGTAAGTAGTTTTTAAACATCAGGTTTTCTTCCCCCCTACATATACAGGCAGTCCCTGGGTTATGAACACGATCCGTTCCTCCGTGTGTCTTTAAGAATGTGTAGGTGAGCTGACCCCCAGACACCCTTTTAACTCAGTACTGAAGTCACCCCTCAGGTTCACCCTTCAGCCAAAGATCAGACAGACCCATAAAACAAATGAGACTAAATGAGCACACCAACCCAGGGGCAAGAATGAGAAGGCAGGAGAGAACAGGAAAGCTGGTAATGGGGACCCCAAGGTTGAGAAGGGGAGAGTGTTGACATGTCATGGAGTTGGCAACCCATGTCACAAAACAATATGTGTATTAATTGTTTAGGGCGAAACTAATTTGCTCTGTAAACCTTCATCTAAAGCACAAAAAAAAAAAAATTTTGTAAGTAAGTTGAAACAGGTGCATATGGTTCTTACTTAGCCTTACTTCACTGCAAGAAAAGACTAGAAGCCTTTTCAATGACCTAAAAGCTGCACGTGCAGCAAGTGGTGATTGTGATGAAGAATTTGTTGCAGTAGGGGTAGGTTCGATCGTTTCAAAGTGAGGGCAAATTTATATACAATTAAAGGGCTAGTAAGAGTTGTCTGTAAGTCGGACGTTTGTAACCCAGGGATCTACTGTATTATCATACAAATTAAAAAATTAAAAAAGCTCTGGAAAGGTACAAGAGTTGGAATTGCTAATCCTGACTGGAGGAGTTGTAGAGAATTTAAAAAGAAGTTGGTATTTGAAATTGGGCTTGAAATATAAATAAGAAATAAGAAGAAAGGAAAGAGCTTCCCAGACAGAGTGGATAGCTTTTGCAATAACCTGCAGTCATAAAAAGGTGTCCCAGGTTTGAGAAATGGTGAACAGCTCACTGTTGAATATAAGTGAGAAGTAGCAAGGGGTTAGGCTAAAGAATTAGAATGGGGCCAGTTTGGGACAAATCTTGCAAACTTTACAATGAATTTAAACCTTATTCTGAAACAATGGGGTCAACCTGGAATTTTAAGCAAGAGACTGCTATATATCCAATTATAAAAAAATGATTTCAGAAAGGTGGTAGTGAAATTACTCTGGAGATAGTAGAGACTAGAGGTCAGGAGAAAAAATAGTTTCGAGGCCATAAGAATAGGTTAGACAAGACACGATAATTATATGAATCAAAGTCGTAGCAGTGGGAATGCTGCCAAATACACGAAAAATTTGAAAAGACAGGCAAGTAACTGAAAGTGGTAAGAAAGAACAGTAGAAATTAAAGATAATTAAACATGAATAGCAGCTCTTGTTATATAGAAACCACTTCATAACGTCAACTTTACCTTTCTGTGTTAGTTCCGAGCCCGGGGAGGTTGGTAAAACTGCTGGGTCGGCCGAGTTGATCGTCTTGGCTGGCCATCACCTCCTCTTCGGAACTCCAGAGTTTGGTCGTAAGTGCCTTCTTCCTATTTGCAGACAGTAGTGATTGAGCATGTTCAGCATAGCTTCGAGTTTACTAAGTTCAATACACTTTATGACATACCCTACTGAGCTGCTC